CATCTCAACATTACAATTACGCAAATACAATTACACGTAGTAACATTTGAAATTGCATTGACGTAAGTTGGATGCTAAGTAGATTGTTGATTCTAGACACGACTATGGCGGTAACGTCGCGGCAATCACAGTGATGTGAATATCTTTCTCGTACTGATTTGATTTTATAGTGCGGTTTACTTGTCAGTTGTTTTACCCTTCAGGGTTGATTTGTAAGATTGTGGCGTACCTGTTGATGGCAATTTGTTTAGTCTTCATGGTCTACTATAGTATCGTTTGGGAATGTTCTCGTTTCATCTTATAATAAATCATGGCAGTCGTTTAGATGTTGTAGTTTTGTGGTGTGTAATTTAATGTTGGTGTTTATAGTATATATTACAATCTATGTAAATTAACGTTGTGTGTTTACTGTATTCAATGATGCAATCCTATCTGAATGATGTGTTATTCAACACCTTTAAAAAAGTACATGGCCCATGCGGTTGCACCCAGAGTCAGCGAAATATTTAAGTACCATGAATACACTTAGCTAGGGGTTAACTAAACACGACCATTAGTTCTGTAACCTATCACATAGTATATATGCAAATTGTATTACTCATAATTGTTGTTTTCCTACCTTTAGTACAATATGAGTTTCGAGACGGTTTGTTGAATGAAAATAAATAAGTCATGTGTGTTTGGACAGGACGTGTAGTGTAGATTTAATGTATTGAAAGGTGTATGTGAATATATTCAAGAATCTTATAATTCCTTACGAGATTGAGTTTATATGAAATAGTGTAACGGATACTATGTTGTTTTAGCTCATATTCTTCACAGGGAATCAGATTCGCAGAATTATAGGTCAATATGATCTAATATTAGTCAAAAATGTCATCATCAAATTTTGCTAAATATAGTGATCTAAATATATATTTATCTGCACTTTCACGTCATAACGGATCGACTCTAAGTGTGAAAGTGAAATGTGAATGGTCGAACAGCTGCAACATTTTTAGTTTCTCAAGGTATTATACATTATTTTGGACGAGTTTTTTTCTATATAAATTCTTGTAACTGGAAGATTATTATCGAACAACAAGACTTTCTTCTTCAGTTGGTGCGCACGTGACAAGCGGTGAATCTTTACTTTTTTATATTCTCCATGTATCGATTGTGTATGTATGTAAGTCAGTTTCTGCCATAGGTACAATTGAATACTCGAACATTCTTGTGTTCCTAAAGCGCGTGTACGGGAAACGCTTGAATAACTCTAGTGCTACTCACGATTATGAACTTAGCCAGAATTAACGTTTATCCTGCTTTGTTTTTCCGTGATTTATTCGAAAATTCAAGCAAAATTACATTGTTAATTGCCTTCAGGCATATCTCACGCAGAACAATCCATAAAAAAAACGCCGATACGACTCCTTTACGCCACTATACTTAAGATCGGGTCTACTTTAAAATTACAACGTTGCCGTGGCCATTTAGCATAATTGCAAAATCATTACTTCAAGTCATATTTTATATACAGTATAAAAATAATAGAATACTGCAAAGTTATGAGCTATGCATAACATAGTTGTAGTGATGACACGTAATTACATTTCCAATACATTACTGACAAAGTAAATAATCATTCTGGCCAACGGGCGTACAAATCACTGCATACTTTGAAACAAATGACTAATAAAAACGTTTATTACTGGTGAACAGAAAAATTCAAATTATACAAATACATTTAATTATCAAGAAGAATTATAATATATACATACAGATCGTTGCGTCTTCTATGAAAGTATGAATCCTTATATGATTCGAAATTTTGAATATTCTCCTAAAACCCAATGGAACCAAAAAAATGTTAAAATGTTAATACAAATTATACATACTCGAGAATTGAGCACTTCACCTTGGAATTAACAACTGGAACACACCAAACCGAATATGTACAAGAGGTGACCTTTCTGACCTAGAGATCCAAATACATGTATTTTTCCGATCTATAATTCTTTTTCAATCTAGCATAAGTACGGAATTTCAATATATATAATATGAGGGGTGTCAGACAGAACATACTGATAATGTTTATTATAATTATCGCAACGCAATCAAATAATAATCACTGAACTTATGATTTTAATCTCGTATAATCTGACAGCCAGACACAGTAAACTAGTTGTACAACACAAAGTTGGTTTTACTGTGATTGGATATTTGTTGATTGACGTAAGTAACAAAACTCGACGTGCAATATATTCTATAATTAGATATTGCGTTAGATAAATTATGCACTAGATATAATACTATGATGTTCATTCCATTGCTAGTATACTTACTAGTCATCTAATAGTATAGTTGAAATTGTGGGGGGGGGAATTATAAGGTAACTTCAACTGAAGGAAAATGCGATCGATATATTTTATTCAATAAAATCTATTTAGGGAACACCTCTAGAGTGGCCTTCACCCGGGTTTATCGATGGTGTATACACATAACAGCGCTCGATGCACATAGAGTGGCAATCGATATGAGGGTAAGCAGCTTCAGTTCATTAGAAAGCATTGGTATGGATATCTTATTATGCGCACATGCATGGAGGATAATTGGTATTTGCTCTTACAGTAACTTAGCGACATATAGCGATGCAATCCGTTACAATCGTGAGTTACAATGTGTTGATTTATTTGATTGTATTACCTTCTATTCCAACATCATGGTACATAGTACGAGTACGGAGCTTCCGAACCTTCTCGAATAACACTTCTTTCGAGTGTTATTTTGTAAGACACTTAGTTTGACACTTCGTTAAGATTATCGATGTGTATCTATCGGCTCCCAGGTCAAATTTGAATTATTTCAAATTTTGGTTTATTTTGGATCGGTCAGCCATGATGTCAGAATGTCAGTCCGTAATTTAAGAGCGCATTTTCGAGACATCTTTGAGTGTTTTGGCTTACTTACATAATAGACGAATACCAGGTGGATTAAAAAGAGTTGCAGGATCATTTATTATTATTAAGAAATACAGTTATTTTGTAACGATCAATTCAGACCGTGGCCGTTTCACAATTCTCTGAAAATCGCCACAAGACAACGGTGTTCATGGAGAAGTTAAGGTGGAGATAATTTAAGATTACGTCACAAATACACAAGGCTTTATATAACACATGCGTTATAGTTAACATCTGAAACTACCATAGTTAATATATTCAAATTATTAATTGAATAAATATTGTGTACAACATCAAACATATTTTGACGTATTTTCTAATACCAAACCAATGGTGTCATAGTGCATATCATTACCTAATTAACTAAATAATGCTTCATTCTAAACGTGGCAATACGAACGCTGAAACTTATCTGTTGTTCTCGAATAATACGCCGGAAACTAAGTCGTGCGACAGTACTGTATTTATCGCCGCGGCATGACATACTGGATAACAAAACTTACTTGTATGTTGCAATGACAATAACTTATATTAATGACGACTGAATGTTTATTTTTATAAAAAACAATATTGATGTCGATTTTGAAAACCAAAGGCGGCCTCAACTGCAAAGTTGCGTCCACTGTCATCACGCTGAATAGCATAAACTATCATATGATTCGTAAAATCATGATTTCTACGTCGTTTGTCTTCTTACACGATATTGCCACCTGATATGATCACTTGTTCCTATAGTTATACTCGTGACATCATGAGATGTTTTTATCTCCACAACTTTGATTCGAGGATAATACAGCCCATAATGTCACTCGTGTCAACTAGCTCTACGAACATATAATATCAGGTGATAACCTCACAGTGCCACTATACGTTAAAACCGTTAAATTGAAAAATCAATACTTGATGCTGTATGTTTCGCAAAGCCGAATATTAGTCAAACTATCCACGTCATTATTTAAGTATTATGTGACTCGGGTGAATTAGGGAGACTTTCCCAAAGGCATGTTTATTAAACTAAAGAAGATGATGTAAATAATTGGGATAATTTAGGCATTAGGACGAAATGCCTTCATCGTGATGAGTGTGTTATTAGATAGTAAATAGGCACCTGGGGTTGCTTTAGTCGTCACGTTGCATGCACATCTGTTTTAATTACGCTACTTATAATGAGCTGTGTGTATGCAGACTCGTTTTCGGTGGAGTAGACTTGTCGTGTATTTTGCGCCTCTGTCACTTACGTCTGAGTGGGTAATTTTCCGGCAGATGCATTTCTCTTTTTTTATTCAAATCATTTCATCTCGTTCCATTTACATGTTACTTTAGAAATTTCGCCGCCTTGTTAAATAATTTTATATTTCTGTTACAGATGCAACCGACAGAATTCTCTGTTTCTGCCAGTTCAAGCAACACTGTTTTTACAAGAAAGAATATTTACACTGACTTTGTCACATTGGTGGCGTATGAAAGATCTAACAACCCCGGATTTACAGCCTTGCTTATCTACAATTTTGTAAATGTCAACCGCCTATACTTTATACTTCACGTTGTCTATCTTTTAATTTGATAAATTCAAGATCATTGCCATTGACTATTTAAAGGTCAAAAAATCAAATTTGCATGAATGTTAAATGGAAAGACAATACGTGATGGAGCCGACAAGACGACAGCACGTTATCAACTGACTTGAATCAATATATGTGGTTTTTAAACGACGTTTTTCAAATACTGGACAACTGTAATCGAAGATCTTGAAGAGTATTAAGCGTCTCTGCAAATCTCACCGCTCCTTTCAACAGACATCACAATTACATTCCTCACGACTGGTTGGCGGCAATCTCATATAATTTGCATGCATAAAGAGCTGAATACATAGAGAAACCTTATATCAACTTCATCTATATGGTGTACATGTCAGTGTTGTTAACAACAGTATATGAACACAGCTAGCTATATTATTTGGGACTTCATCTCGAACTAGACGCCGAAAACAACAGCGAGCGGATTGTTTTTATTGATCTATCAAGACATTCGTAAATCGAGCAATAACGTCAAATTTCAACCATGGAGTACGACAGTTCTTATTACTCTTCATATTATTACTCTTGGAATAATTCTTTCGATTATGGTGACTACAACTTTAAGTCATTCCGACAGAAATATATCATTGTACCGTTTTTCTTCACTATTATCTTTCTCGTTGGCGTGGTCGGCAATTCTCTTGTCTTGTACGTCATCTTGAAGAACGGCGCCATGAAGACCGTCACCAATCTGTTTCTTTTGAACTTAGCCCTGGCGGACCTGGTGTTCCTCGTATTCAGTGTTCCCTTCTCTGCCTCGCTGTATCTACACTCTGAGTGGTTATTCGGAGATTTCTGTTGCAAATTAACTATTTATCTGACGTACGTGTGTTACGAAGTGAGTGTTATAACGTTGACTGTGATGTCTGTCGATCGTTACTACGCGGTAGTACATCCAATGCGGTCCCGTATTCATAGGTAAGTAACGTACACCTATGGTTAGAATTTCCGTCTAATTAGTAAATAACCTTTATTAAATGGTGGACTATCGCGAATGTATATCTGAATTAAAGATTATTTGTAGCAAAGTCGCGTTAGTCTTGGTCAATATGATGAATGGTCGGAAATAAATTTTGGTTCGATCAACAAGTACGGAACATCACGTAATTTGATTGATATCTCACTTACCTGTAGTGTGTCCTTACAGAAATGAACTTTGATTTTATGTCGTTCGCCATGACTCAGTAATTTAGTAATACTAATATAACATTCATTCATTTTATTTTAGAACTCTGCAGCGTACTTTGCTCACATTGGTGGTCATATGGATCGTGTGTCTGATCGGATCTTCTCATGCCATCAAGGTTGGTGACAGTGTGATGATTCTTCGCTATGGTACCTATCAATACACCTGTTTAGAATGGTGGTCAGTGGAAGGACGAAAGCAGTTTATCACTTGTGGATTTGTCATATTCTACTGCTTGCCACTAGTCACAGTGGCATTCGCGTACGCCTTGATGGCTAGGCGCTTGTGGGTGTCCGTTTCCCCGACTATGGGTTCTGATGACGCACAGTTGAGAACCGTGCAGACGAGAAGGAAAATTGCCCGTCTAGTACTCGCTGTGGTCGTTGTATTTGCGTTATGCTGGTTGCCGTTCCACATTTTTCAGCTTCTCTCCATTTGGATAAACAGCTACAATAGTATTTACACAGATGGCTTCTCGATTTTCGGACAATTTGCTAAAGTTCTAGCATATTCCAACAGCTGCTTGAACCCGCTTTTGTACTCGTTTCTAAGCGATAATTTTCGCAAACACTTCAAGCGGGCGTGTAGCCCAGTGCATTCGTGTGGTCGAAAGTTTCGTGTGGGTACCCAACCCGGCGGTTCCGATCCGGAAGCAGCGCTCATTAACCTTACCAACTACAACGCAAGTCTCCGGCAACCCATGAACACCATATCGCTACGCGTAGTGAAGGACTGTCAGGCACCGAAGCTTAGGAATTCCAGTTCAAATTCAAATGTCGTCACAAACACCACACCTTCTTCGCCGGTTGCGACACTATAATAATGGCACGTGAAATAAAAGCTACGAACACGTCCGCACCATATTGTCAGCACAGAGATCTTTAAAATATCATTAATTATGATATTTTTTTATAATTGTAGATAGTATCCAATAAATATATAGTATTTACTTCGAGTAATATTTACGTTACACCGTTGAATATAAAGGGAAAGAGTATACGTACTTATTATATGAATTGCATCCTCTGCACGTGTTTTGGTTATAATGGAATTTATTAAAAGCTTTATAGGGTCGGGCACATTGCCGAAATATATTTATTTTCCAGAAATTAAACGCAGTTTTCATTTTCGTCGGATTTGAGTGCAGATGAGTGACATATAAATGCTCAAGAATATATTACATTCACGCCACCTGCCGTTTATCTAGATGTTTCGATCTGCACCGAGATCCAGTGTAGTAACTACACAACTCGAAAAATGCAGCTTCTTTTTGGAGTTCCAATAATAAATATTGTAGTCAATTTCTTACCTAATTAAATCTTTTGATTATTTTCATATGTCGCAGTGATTTTATAATCATATATGCTGCCGTCAGGATGGGCAATATAATCAGATTACAAGAAAACGTGATTCAAGAAAACGTGCTTCATTGTCAGGGGAGAGGGGTCTACAGGGATAGCGCAGATTTGCACGAGCAGTTATATTTCCGGAAGTAATTTAGTGTATTATGGAATGGACATCACTAATATGTAGTATTCAGAAATAAATGTTACAGCCACAGTTACATGTAATATGAAATGAACGACAGAAATAAAGACATAGCAGCTAAATTTACTCACATGTTGGCGTATGCATAATTATATACATGAAGTTAAGTTCATGTACTTGAGTGTAAATTAGTTAATCAGATGTGATTCCCTGACTAACCTGAACCTAAATGTAACCAACCTTCTGTAGACTTTTTTTTCAAATAAACCACTCTTTTACAGCAAACACCTTTAGTTTAAGTTAATTCAAATTGTTTTAAATTAATTTAAATAACCTGTATATATTTGCTTAATCTCAAATTGTAACGATGTCATGTTTTCTTTTACAAATTGTACTAATGGAAAAGATGGCGGCAATTTGGGCTCACGACCACGACCTCCAGGTAAGTAAAACCACGACCTCCAGGTAAGTAACGTTCCCAATAGCATTACGTTATGGTCCGCAAAATGTAGTCAATCTAATTTCCGGTTTTATCTTTGTATGTTGTAATCCAGCAGATTAGTTTTATTGTCTGTTGTTTAACAGTCGCGCCATACCGCAGCGCCCCAGAGATTACACCCTCCTCGCACGAAACACGCATACCAAGTTACATCCTGTATTCCCTGTATACAACAAAAATATACGTTTTCAGCCAGGTGTGTAATCAATTCCCCGCTGTTTCAATCACGCTTCGCCTCATGGGAATTATATTTTTGGAAGCAGACTCTCCGTTCATTGACTCATAGATCCTAGAGAAAAAAATATAGTAGTTCCATGTTTGAACTGTCTCTGCGAGAAAGCATAATTCCACGTAAATTTTAAAAATCGTTGTATGAAATTTTAGAACGATAATTTTCAGGTGTGCTCAAAAAGGCTTCTACAGTGTTTTTTTCTGAACTGATCTAGCTGGTATTCTGTAAATGTATATTACAATATCATGATTATACGATTTCCTCTACAAAATGATCATTTATACAGCCATAGTTTTATTACTATGCCCTTGCAGATTGTTTTCAGCGAGTACGTAGTTAAGTGCATTCTCTTCGAGATCCCGTCATTTCAATATATTATTTGACATATGATGAGGTATCTCTGAATGGGCGCATATTATATTTTTATTTGACGCTCAATACTCAGTAGAATCATGTACGAGTTCATCCATCGTCCGATACGCACGGTTTCGCTGAAGCCAACAATTCATGGTCGTTCCTACGAACCCGTGTGTGGTCGTGTTGGAAAAAGATGTAATTCACTTCAGTTAAAGGGCAATGGTCGTCTCGCCGCGCATGTGCGATATTTGTGTTGATAAACACTGATTTTCCGAATTCAATCTGCTCTACTAATGGAAATCACAAGTAAAAGTTTTGAACTGGGCGTGACCTGCACAAATTATATCCGGTGACTTCTTCGATACCTTCCAATTACCAAAGAAATTACCGAATTAATGATTGGTAGTTTCTCAGTTTGTACTGCGCAATAGTCAAAGTCAACATCCTTGTTTATATGAGATCAATATCTCTCACACGCGAGGCACGACTACCACCGCCCTTTAATTATAAATTGAATGATTTGATTTGGCGCACCATAAAAACTAGATCCATCAATCAACGTTCTTGTAACAACATCCCGCAACAATTTCAGATTTGAACCAATAGATTTAGTCGTCTTATATAACGTGTTAGCTTAACTGACGAAAACGCGCGACTTCGCGTTCGATTCCCATGGAAACGCCTCACAACACTTCTCATCGCGATCCATTCACCATGGAAACGCATCAGAGCACACGCCGTTATGTTTGAAAGAAAATACAGGTTTATTGTCTGTGGGAATTCCGTCAAGATATACTAGTGTGGCGATAGACAAATAAATGAATCTTGGCTGGCGAAGATGGGGTTCATTGGAAAATATGATCATATTGAGTTCGCAAAACAGTGCGTTTTGACGATTACTTATAAAAGATATGTTTTTTATGTCAGTTACTGGCAACTATTCGGCATTTTTTTACTATTATCATATTATCAAATATGAGGCCAATTTACATGTCGCGCTGAATGAATATTCTGTAGTTCTCCCCGTTAGACATCAATCTACCTAGTTATCGTCAAAGAATTCAATATTTGGGTCACGTGTCACATACAGCATTAGTTACTGAGTTAGTTATTTTCGAGAAAGCGCCACATGGTTTCAGATTCGCCTCTAGGTGGCGATGTTTGTGAAAACGTATTGTTTGATTTCCACTCCGAGTCCATCAAAACATGTTACAGTACTATGCACGATGCTCAAGTTTCTAAACTATGAACAAAATACAGCATTACTACTATAGCAAGTAGTTTCTATAGTGACTGTGATAGAATAGTTTTATACAAAATCACAAGTTTATTGGCATTGTGAAATAATGAATACAATAAACATCCATGTAATTAAATTGTCTATTTTGTATATAATCGTAAAACACAATTCAATGACATTACATTTATAGTCCACATTGCTCAGTATTAATTTTGAATGTTCACATTGCAACAGTCATATATGTGGATTATATTACACATATGTAAAAACTCTACAGCAAGTCAAATTAACATGTATACCGAATCCAATACTTTACTTGATATCGGCTATTTATTTGATGTGCCAATGCATAATTGTAATCTTTTTTTTCCGGAATTGTTAGTAAATTGTTAATACATTTATCGAAAACCATATCGAGAGTGTCGACAGTTTATTTCAACATCACAATTATAGTTATAGTTATGCATATTATTAGGTCACATGCCCCAAAATAGACAAGTTAGTCATAATTTGTCGATTGATTTCATTGTAGCACTTGATGCATGCCGATATCACACAGGGCAGCCAACATTTTTGCAATAGACGTTTGATTAGCGCCTTTCAGGTATTACGCGAGATCTCGCGGAATATCCTCTATTGAATGTGGTTTAAACTTAATTGTATTGTTTTATTTAGGAAAACGTGCAAGATATGTAGATTTTATAACTTAATGAATGGTAGGAGGATAGTAAATTCCATGAAGGATTAATGCTTACTGTAATTAAATAGCAGTAGAATGTTGTGGTGAAAAGTCTAATTATTGTTTAATTTGACGTTGGTGGCAGTGTTTTTTATGTCTATTTGTTTGTGAAGAGTGGAATCAAAAAAGTTGATATAAATGGTCAAGCTTTTATCGCCGAATAAAAGCTTGACCTTTTATATCAACTTTTTTGATTGGCTGTTGCTTAGCCTTTCAGCTCAGTGCCAGCCAATCAATTTAAACTACGGTAATTGATTTTATTATTACTGTTAGTTTTAGTATGTACTAATCCACGTTTGACTGAACCACCACCAAACTACGGGTCTGATAAGGAACTTTGGTTTGTCGAATTTGGATTTCATTAATTCGTATTCAAATTTTCAGGATCCCTGATTTCTGTTTTCTACAGCGCAGCCTAACCAGTCGTATTATCTGCTCCCAGAAGTGTCTGTTTGTGTTGTTCATCCAGTTAAGTCATGGCATCATACTATTAGAGTTCATTTGCAAATTATTGACTGTTCGATAATTACTTACGGGTGTTCAGTCCTGGATGCCTATGTTTTGGGACATAGGCTTGCTATTTCCTTTACATATTAAGTGGGATGTCTGCCTAGACTTATAGATTTTTATGCTAATTGAGCTGGAGCGGCGAGTTTTCGAAGTGGTGGAAAGAACGCACTAAAAATAGAAAAAGATGGCTGGAAAAACTGAACTTGGTTACAGTGAGCCGAAAGAAACTTAACTCAGGCGAGTTACTATATTGATTTTTACTGAACACTTGTGGCAGAAAGGGGTAATTAATCATCTGCGTCACCGCTGTGAGTCTGAGCGAGTCCTGAATCTTATGATACCAACTTATTTCCATTATTGGAAAGCGTCACGCACTTACAAACCACGAGGGTGGCGTTGAAACCCTGATCGATTGCCTTCAGTTGTGTGGTAAACATTGACAAGTAACCAAGACAGATCATTTATTAGCGAATTAAAAATCACTTTCTCCTTGGCTTAGTTCCCCGCCGCTCCTGTTTCGTTTTTCCTGGGTTAATTAGTGTTTTAAAGTTGCTGTACTGAAATATTGTCCATGTCGGATCTTGAGTTCAAACAGTACATTTTGGATCTGTGGTTTATTTTGTTATGCTCCCCCCTTGTCCACTTCAAATGCGGAATACTGGTTCTGGTCTATGTGTGTTGTCTGGCTACAAGTAGATGAGGGCGCTACACGTGCACTAACTCAACTAGTCATTAACCAGCTTATATCACATCAC